GAGTGTGTTGGATTCCCCATTCATGCTGTTTAGCGTGGATGGCAGAACTGAGCATTTTTTCATGTTCTTCAGCCCCCCGCAAGCTTATTACTGGCCATTAGAGGGCAGTTAAGCCTAGAGATCTTTCTTTTCATATACCGTATATACTCGAGTATAAGCCGTCCCGAATATAAGCCGAGGTACCTAATTTTAGCCAAAAAAACTGGGAAAAAGTATTGACACCGGTGTGCTCACATGCACACTGCCCGTTCAGCATTGCGGTCATCGGAAGCCTGCCCTCAGGGGGGCGGGCTTGCGATGATCGAGAGTACAATCTGCCTGTCCAAGATGGGCAGATCGTACATTTTTTTAAGTACTTTACAACCATCGCAAGACTAAAGTCTTGCGATGGTTGTAAAGTGTATGGCCACCTTTACTCTCAGGCAAGGATAATCACACAATGCAGGCAGACCTTCACCTCCACCCAGTGAGTGATGACAACAAGTGAGTGCTCACCTGGGGAGGTAGACCTACAGAGGTAGGGTTTGCGATCTGTGTGCATACTTGGTGCGCATTTTGGTAGCATTTTGATTAAACTTTTATTGGTATCATACTGTGTTCCCTATGGAATACCTTTTGCTTTGCTTATGGTAATCCAGGCATAGAGGGGAAAAAAAGGACAAATAAACAGCAGTAATAAGCAGCTCCACAATTTGGGTAATATCCACCCCAGCCTCAAAAAGGATCTGCGGTGTCAGACCTTATCCCTAAGGTTTTCTTGTAAGGTAAGGTGCTTTCTGGAGGGTGTGAGCAGTGGATTGGATTTGGTGGAGGTTACAACAACTGATTTGATCGTTACACATTACAATCAATCATTGTGATTCATGCTGGAGACATTATGAACTTGAGCACAGCTTTGCACTCATACGAATATACACTGTTATATTCAGGGCTTGAAAAATTTGATAGTGTCTCACCAGTAAGTCAAAAATTTCACCAGTCAGCATGTCCGGACTATGGCCTTGCAAATTATGTTAACATCTTGGGAACAGATAGAGCTTTCTTTGTTTATTTTATTTATTTTTTTACTATATAATGAAAAAAGTACCATAAATGTAAAAAAATTTTTTTCCCTACCTTATGTTATAAAACATTTATTCTTACCCATATTTTTAGTAAAACATAAAAGTCGGGGCCACGTCGGGTAAATAGACACAAACATCTCAAGCCTTAAAATTGCGTGCGCCCGCAAAATTGCAAAAAACGCCAATAGGTGACGATTAAAACGCTTTTACTGCTCATCAGTTTAGTGTTATCAGTGATTAATGGCTCTAAAATTATTGCTCTCACTCCGATGTTTGCGGCGATATGTAACATGTGCGGCGCAATCGTCGTTTTTGCACGTAGGCGCACCCTATGTGCACCTACGTGAATCTTTTTGTGATTCTTTAATTTTTGTATTACTTTTTTTTTTACACACAACTTTATTGCTATTACATGGGGGACTAAGAAGCCCCCTATGTGATAGCCAATTTACATGACAGGTCCTCTTTATGGAGACATCAAGGGTCTCCAAGACCCCTAATGTCACCTAGGGACCCCCAGAGAGGCTGATGAAGCAGATATCTGCTTCATCAGCTTCTGTAGCTGGAGAGTGACACTGAATGCAGGAAGTGATGCAATATACATCACTTCCTGCATTCAGGGACTGAGAGAAGATCAAAGGGAGTTCGTATTCTGAACTCCCTTTGATCTCCTGTCACAGAGCCGTGCCGGTCCCGGCCGCATCGGGAACAGAGGATCTCGGGCCCAGCAGTGATAGCTGCTAATACAAGCGAGTGAGCGTCTCTAGAGCCGCACAATCACTTGAATGTTAAGCTCCCGGCCGGCCGTGTAATTGCAACGGCTGGCCGCGAATCTGCTCGTTGGGCTCCACCATCCTCTCGTCACAGAGCCCTCGTTTTCAAGCCCTGGTTATATTGGATCAACTAGGTTTGGTTTTGACATATTTGCATATCACATTTTGGTTGGTTATAGGTGTTTTTAAAGTGGACCTTTACCCATATCTTTAAAATAACAACAAACACACCTTTGGAAATGTTTAGTAATGACAAATCTACAAACACATACTTCTAGATAATTGCAGGCTTTGTATTCTTTGCATACCTTATTTCTCTTTTCTTCTCCAGTCTTCTGACAGTGGCCAACTGGCCATGTTTACTAAGGGCAGATTACTAGCTCTACTTTTACTTCCTGGGTTTCTGGCACATGTGACTAGGACATGTGACCATGCACATCATCTCAGGGGAGAAAAATGCTTTTCCCTGAGATCTGAAGATGAGATTTCCTAGCAATGCTCTGCTGATGACAAGGCAATCCCAGTGTGCACTGCTTTGGCAAACTGAAGTAATTTTGCAGTTTCAAAGCAGGAAGTGAATGATCTAATAGTGTAAGTATTTCAAAAATCTCTGTTCTTGGCTCATCTCTAGGGAAAAAAATAGCTAGCCAAAGTTATCCAACATGATGGCTCACTCTGACGGGGGCAACTAAATGATGGGAAATATAAACTGATAATTTTATTAAAGGGATGATCCCAGCTTAAAAATGATATCACTCGTAGGTGTTATGAAGTATGTAAATTGCCTCTCGTGATACCATACACCTCAGGCAGTCAAAGTGGCATGTTGTCACACAGGGAGCTTGTCTAGCTGTTATGTAGAAGATGAAGCACCCAATGTGCACAGATGTCAGCTGACTACAGCTCCTGGTGCTTGTTTGAGTCAAGTAAGGATAGGGAGATATTTCCCTCTTTCTCATTCTCCAGGTGATATCTGCCCATCTATCTACAAATACAAGGATTGTCAGGCAGACTGTGTAACCATCACGTGTCAATTGGTATCTTAAGGGTAGCCATATACAATCCAATCTCTCTATGCAAAAGATCAAGCATTGCTTGCAAAAATCAGTGGAGGTTTGGACTACATAGACCTTTGCTAAAGGGTTATAATGAAGACTTTATGGCACTAGAACTGGTCATCAGACAAATGCAACATGTTGGAAAATCTTTGTGCAAGCCAATCATTCCTTTGCTTTGGAGAAAAAAAACAATGGCACACTCTCACTTCATGCTCAGTACATTCACTAATTGGTCAAACTGTGGACAACATCTCTATGGTTTCCAGTGGTGGTCTAATAAGACTGAAGATGGGTAAATGTCTTATTTTTAGAGAATTATCTGTCTGTCTGGGCTGATTGTATTAATGGATATGAGTCTGTGAAGGTTCTCATTCATCTAGGTCATGGTATATCTGTAACAAAGAAGCCAAGGCAACTGGACTTGCTGTATTTTTCTTGAAGACGTTTCACTGGTCATCCAACCAGCTTTCTCAATTCAGAATAACTTGTACAATAATTCTCTGGGAATAAATATGGTGATTGTCGCTCCAATCCACATAATCTGTTAGTTGCAACCAGGTGTTGATTGCACCTGCATAATTGGAGCTAGGAGGTGATATTAACCTGCCCAGAGAGAGGTGTTAAAACAGCATTGTGATGTTTCACTCCTCCCTGTCTAGGATGCGTACTTGACTGTCTTGAAAGGAGTGACCTTTTTTCTTTAGATGTAGGTATACTGCTGAATCCTGACCAGAGGGTTTGGCTCTTCTATGCTGTGCCATACGCTGGTGTAGCTGCTGTTTTGTTTCACTGACATACAATTCTGAGCACACCTCACTGGACTGGACAGCATACACAATGTTGTTCATGGATATGAGATAACAAACATCTGACCTGAGTCAGGTAATCTTTCAAACACAGGGTACTATAATATCCTATTGATTCAGGTGTTGCAAGGTGCAGATACAGTATTCAGATGATGATGACAGCAGGGACCCCCTCACAGGCATAACACTGTCACCGGCGGAGTCTTCAGAACAAGGCCATGTGCTGCTAATGACAATTACAATTTTCTCTTCATGAAAACACACATTTGCGACTATCTGATTATGTAAATTAGCTGCAATAAATGCATTGTTACTATTCTGTTACAAGTCTATAGGCCTCCACTGTATGATATACTTTAAAATATATTTAAATTGTAAAAGACAGTTGTCACCAAAATTATCCTGTAAAATCTTTTCTTGTTTGCAGTGTTTGCTGTAAAACGCAATCTAATCACATTAAAATAAAATAGTGACTACATGTTCAATCACCACTCAGCATGATCCATTAGGGAAATGTCACACAAGATAAGTACGTATGCTGCCCAAACATATGAACATTTAAATATGGGGGGGGAATGTATCAAAACTGGAGCAAACAGAATCTGGAGCAGTTGCCCATGGCAACCAGTCAGCATCTCTCTTCAGTTTGCTCAGGTAAGATTTGAAAATGAGACAGAGAAGCTGACTGGTTGCAGTGCAAATCTGTTCCAGATTTTGTCTGCTCCCGTTTTAATAAATTCCCCCCAAAGTGTATCTAAACACAGGAAACAAAAATGTAGTATATTGCAGCTCACCAGTCCTTGGATGTGGTGGCTGCATTACTTTCCTTTTTAGGCTTTTTTCTTTAGTTTTACCTAGTGATCCTGCCACACTTCCTGTCTTAGGGTGGCAAAACTCACAAACTGTACTGTATCTACAGAGGAGCTGATTTTTCACTCTATGAAAAGAAGTATATTGGGACTACAGAACACCTACCCCTCTTCTTATTTCTATAACAAAGGGGGAGGTTTTGTGTAGTCTGGAGAAAGAGCCAAGAGCAATGCTAAAAGATAATCCATTGATTTTCGTATGATTCGAAAAAAGTTTTCCAGCCTCGCCCATCAAGAAAATTCGGCCAGGAGTACAGTAAAAAATATCATTAGGTTCCCCATCAACTGGTCAATTATCAATCGAAAGACCATTTGTGGACGATTTCTGAACGAAGGGTGTATGGGCACCTTTACCTTTATAGCTCCAGAATGCCTCATGATCAGCAGAGCAATGCAGAGATCCAATGAGCCAATGAGATCCAATGATCCTTCACAATCTCATTTGTTAACAAGACACACAATGCAGATTAGTATTTTGGTACTTTAGTATTGTTTGAATGTTACATGGTATAAGCTGAATTCTCTCGAACAAAGCAAAGCAACATGACTGCATCAGCTCAAATTGTGATGCTTTGGGATGCAGCATTTTACTCATTAATACGTTTTTATCCGCTTTGCATACCAAAATGAGTTTAATGCCTTTTTAGCACATATTAGGCCTTCATATAGTAATTTTAAAAATTCAATGAATGGCCTGGGACAAGGTAAAAGTATAGTAGGGCCATCTTGAATGGGTTGAATAAAAATTAGATTCCCTGTTGGTTTACTATATTAGTGCTCATATGTTTACAACTGTGTGCGTTTGAGAACAAGAAAAAAATTAAGATTCTTAAAGGGTTATTAAACACTCCAGTGTTTTTGCATATATCTACAGCTAGCAAGCAGTAGATATATGCAAAACTATATTTTAAAAAAATTTCAAAGGGTTAATACTTACCTGTGTCTCCGACACGCGCTCCCGTCTAAACTTCTGAAAATTTTTCAGGCGGCTGCAAAGGATCTTGGGTCGGGCGCATTCGCAATTCAGATGTTCGGCCGGGAGACGAGGAGAGACACAAGGTAAGTATATGGAGCAGCGTGCACCCGCATGCAGACACCGTGGGACATGAGAAAAGAGGAGGACAGAGGAGTCAGCGCTGGATAGGAGACCCGCATTTTGGTGGAGACGACGACATTTGCCCTTAAGGTCACTTTAAGTATAAATTCATATAAATATATTTGCTTCCTGTCCTTTAGGCACAACAGGAAATGAGGAAATATCTCCACCAGCTTTTTAGGCAGTTGACACCTCAACAAGTGTCCCTATTGAAACATTTCCCTTACTTTAGTGACAATGACTAAAAAAGACTTAAGATAGACTACAAGTAAATCAATCCCAATATGTCATAACATAGTGTATTGAAAATGCTGCTCACCTGTAAGGTAAACCCACAGCCTTCTGGAACAAGTCCAGTACCGAAGTCCTGGTAATTGCTGTTGATAAATGAGCAAGCATTCCCGTGTGCATCCACTACAGTGAAGTATACTGTGTCACTTCCTGTGTTAAAAGGGCTCCCATGGATATTTGCTTCTGAAACTCTGAATGAAAAAAAGACTGTACAATGTGAGTGACATCATAAAATAGGTCCCTATAGTATGCAGAAAAAAACACATTGTGGTCAATGTAATAAAAGTTCTAACATAGAACAAAATTGTTTGGGATTGAATGGATGTATTTCACTTTCATCATTTTGTTACAGTTTAAAGAGGCACTACAAGCTTGCCCAATGTTTCTGGGTATGGGGGAGCATGTGACTTCCTCTCCTGTGACAGTGCTTGGGTCTAGCAGCCAATTGCTAGGTAGGAGCACTGTTACATGACTGAGGGAGTGACGTGTCCTATCATCTAACAGCACATGGGATTTTATTGCCAATTGTGTCAGAGGCAGGAATAGCAGAGGCTCATTAGCAAAGTAAGTATCAGGGGTTTGGAGGGGCCCTTTACAAAGACGTGTCACTTTACTCTGAATGGCCAAGGTGACAGTCTCTCTAAAGTGGTACAGTAGAAAGGCATCATGGCACTGTATAACTGGTAACAAATTGTTGAGTGCGTTTGTCGTTTGTTTTGCTTTAGTCTCTCTAAAGTGACACTAAACTCAGGAGTTAAATCTAAAAATACCTTCAAGTACCTTAACTATCGGCTGTAGATTCTCAAATCCTCTCTGAATTGGTGCCGACACTGTCCTTCCTTCTGGTGGGTGGATACTTTTGTTCCCCATGGTCCCTTTGTGTGTTGTAAAGTAGCCAGCGCTCCAAGCTCACTCTCGTGATGGACTACAATCTCAATATATAATTAGTAAACTAAACATGAGATTGTAGTCCATCACGGAGGTGGAGACAGGCTGGAGGGAGCAATGTGACAGCATTTAACTCTTGCGGTGCAGGGGTAGCCCCACTGCAAGGGTTAATACACATTTTTCCTGGAGTTCTTCTTTAATGTAATTAAATATTGTTATCTCTACACATAGTCAAAACCTTTTTTTTTTAGTTTTGGATAAAGTGCTGTCTGTGACCCCATTGCATAGATTCACCCCTCTATTTGAACAGCTGATCATTCTCACTGAGAATGAAAGCGAGGGGAAATACAAAATGTTAGAGCTGTCTCCAGAACCAGAGGCAAGGGGAAATCTTCCAGTGGGGACATCTGTTCTGGGGCAGCTGACTTAAACAGGAATTCCCTTCACTTTGAGAGATTTCCTCTAACTTTCTGTTGCATCTCTGGTCCAGGAAGAGAATGGAAATTTCCCCAATGATACACAGACAGCAAAGAATATCCTGGCAGAGGTTTTAACCATTCATTACGCTATGCCAACTGAAAACAAAGTTTTTAGTTTACCTGGAATAGTATAGTGCCATGTATTAACAGAATCTATTTCCATACCCAGAAGGACATAGACGACCTATCAGTACCTAACTTTCAACACTTCTGGTGGGCCAGCTAACTTATGTTAATGACAAGGCCTGCAGAGCGTCGTTGGTTGCTAGAACGCAGGCAGACCAATGCTGGATTTTTTTTTTGCATTGGGCACCATAAAATCCGTACTTGATAAGGATCTGGAATAGATTTTAAAGGGAATCCCCATAATCCCCATCCACGTTGTTTTCAAACAGAACAGGAAATATTATTTAGCACCAATTTGTTGTAGTGTTTTTTTTCTTTGTAAATGCCACTTTCGGTTTAGTACATCCTACAGGTTTACCACTTCACATGCAGGCTTAAGTCATCCCACAAGCATATTATTTAAAGGAATTGAGTATTCTTAATGTTGCCCTTAACACCTTGCTAAAAGAGCTGCTTCCTGCTGAACAGATTTGTTCAGAAATGTAATATTATGGGTAAACATATCAAACAGCCACAGCTCTTTTATGGCAGAAAATATATTTGACCTAAATACAAACAACTCTATATTCGCTTGGCATGCCCAAACACGTTTAAAAAATTTGGGTCCATGGTAACAACAGTTCCGACACTGGTATAAATTTTGAACCAACCTCAGTAGGGCTTTGTACTGTTTAGGAAGACCCTTTGTTTGCTAACTTAAGGTAGTAAGGATGCAAGTTTTCAGGATTCCTTAGATTCCTTTCTCAGCCTGACTAACAGATCTAAGGAATCCCAAAAGCTTGCATCTTTAATAAAATCTTTAATAACTTCTGTTAGCCAATAAAGAATATGACCTAAACTCCAAACTTTCTGTACTAATCATTGGCAAAGACGATACAATACTTAACAGCTGCTAAGAGGTGCTGAAAGTACACTATATTACTGTATATTAAGGTATTTTGACCTTGTTTTTTCTATTTGGGAGGGAGTTGGCAGAGACCAATGTGTGAATGTGAGAATTAGTGAAAGAAACAAGTACTGTACACACAGAAACCTGTGCCCAGCTTGATTGCTGAAAATATTCATCAATAAAACACCTTTCCAAAAAATGTAATATAAAATATTATATGATCTATTTGTATAAAATACAGTACAGCAATAAAAAAATGAAACAAAAATGTTTTATATGTGAGTCGGATATAAGAGGTTAAAACTGTTACAGCTCTGGTGTGTTGTACATGATTCACAGGATCTGCTAATCTATAGATTGTAGAGACCGTAGGTTCCTAGGTGGCACTGCTGTGTCATATTTTGGATGAACACAAAAGATTATTGTTGGCAGAAAATAAAGCACAAAGGTTCCAAAGTCTGCATCCCTTTTATGGCCATGTCATTTCCATGGTGTAGCCCCGTCAGTTAAGTAAAGTAAACATTTTTATCTAGAGTACACATGCACACACTGGTACCAGTATCACAGGGGGCCAGGCTGTGGTCATGAAGTCATCTACCGCCTATAAATCTTTATAGCTCAGAGAGCATAAGTTATACCAACAATTTACCTTACAAAAAGGTTTATATGCTCTATTTAAAACAATGGCATTACATACATTACTCCACAATCAGAAAACCTAGGGGATTCCTATCAGAGATTGCTTGGTAAAATTCCAGAATAACACGTTGGAAATCTCTGAGGCCAATAAGCATTTAAGTGCCTTTTTACAATCCTTCACCTTGTATTTATAGCAGCATCAGAATTTAAACTCTTCGCTAAAAATAGGAAACAGAACAAGACTGTTACCATATATGTGTAGCAAAAAAATATTAGCTGTACTTTGAAAGTTTCAGCACAGATGGTCATCCTGCTGTGTTTTTATTTTTAATTTTTTTTAGGCTTCATTGACACTTGCAATTGAGGCCAATTTAGTGAGTCTCATGATTTGCTCTGTGAGACTCATGCCAACAGCTGTGATTACCCACGGATGATTGTATAGCTTCCTCTAACTTCTTGCCCAAAACTGAATGAGTCTCATGTTGGTGAGACTCACATATTCAACCCCAAACGCAAACGTGAATGCAGCCTTAGTAGACCTGCTCTTGTGTGGATATTAAGCCTCATAGGACTTGTCAGAAACTTTTCTATGTTGTCTTTTGAACCCAAATTAACATCTAACCTGTACTGAAAAATGGCAGCTGGGGGAAATATTAAGCAAGGTTTAAGAATTTTTGTTAAACATATCTTGTCCTATCCAGTTAGTTATTATGAAGGATGGGCTACAAGACACGTAAATGTAGACTAAACTCAGGAGTTACATTGTAAAAATGCATTCAAGTACCTCAACTATAAACAAATGAAGCTTATTTGTGTATCAAATCATCCATGAATTGGTGCTGATACTGTCCTTCCTTCTAGAGGGTGACTACTTTTGTTCCCCATGATCCCTGTGTGTTGTAAAGTAGCCACCACTCCAAGCTCACTCGTGTGACGTACAACAATCTCATATTTCGTTTACTAATTTGTTTTGAGATTGTAATCCATCCCCGGAGCGAGCTTGGAGTGGCGGCTACTTTACAACACACACAGGGAGCATGGGGAACAAAAAAGGCCCCCCTCCAGAAGGCAGGAGAGTGTCACAAAGTAACCAACGTTCCAAGCTTACTCCAGGTGATGGACTACAATCTCAATACAAATTAGTAAACTAAATATGAGATAGTCCATCACTGTAGCCCATCACAGGAGTGAGCTTGGAGCAGTGGCTACTTTGTAGCACACACAGGAACCATGGGAAACAAAAGTGTCCACCCTCCAGAAGGAAGGACAATGTCAGCACCAATTCAGAGATGATTTGAGGATCTACAGCCGAGTGATACACAAATAAGATACATTTTTGTTAATAGGGTACTTAAATGCATTTTAAAGATTTAATTCCTGAGTTTAGTGTCATTTTAACTCAATCATCCTTTGCCAGCAGACTGTTTATTTTTATATAATAGCTCTGTTATATACAAAGCTTACCTCTGTGAATTAATACGGCTGGTTTGTCTTGCAGCATATACTTTATTAATGAGCTCTTCAGTGGGAACTGGAAACACTGCAGGGTCAGCACAGTACCACTGACAGTCGCAGACACTTAGTTTAAGAGCTTCACAGGTTATATGGAGGTAGTCAGCACTGTTATGACCCATCTCTGCAATTAGGAAGAGTGTATTGTTAATCAAGAAATAGATCAAAATGAGGCACAATTTCAGTAAAACAAAAAGAACATTATGTAACGCTTTAAACCAATACAATTGCAAGTACTTTCATTTTGGTTTTATAAACTACTTTTGTACCTTTGATGTGGAAGTTTTCTAGTATATTCAGAGCCATGAGAACAGTGATTCCTTGACTGTTTGGTGGTATTTCCCAAATTTTTATTCCCTAAGGAAACAAAAGAATGTGTTTCTTTCATAACAGAGCAATAGCAATTTTGACAGTTACACAAAATATGAAAACATCAGGGTAAGAGCACATGTCTAGCTATGCTGTGCAGTAATCCGAATAAATTGAAGTCTAACCTCCAAGAAAATATCTTATTCACATGTCTTAATCCAATTAATTGTTATTAAATGGAAACATTGAAAGGAAAAAATAAATAAAATAAAAAAGGTAAATTTTTACAGATTCAATTTAAAAGAAAACCCTCCATGATGAGATAATGCCAGTGGCTACACCACCTTGTCCACATAATAATCAAGCTGAGTAGAACTAGATCTGGAGACTTTAGAACTAGTCAGCTTTCCTTGCTGAGTAGAAACTGAACATTGTTCAAACACCCACTAAAGCAAAGCAAAAATCACTGGAAAAACAACTTTGTAGGAGATGAAAACGAGACGAATAATGGAAATTATTGTCAATAAGATGATTAATGAAAGAATACTAGCAGCAATAATGCTACTAGTATTACTTTCTGTTTTAAAGAGAATTTGCAATGTTTCAAACTGCTTTATAATTCTTAACTTTTCGACGAAGAAACCAATTAAGAAAAAAAAAAATAACACAGGTATAAAACCTATTATCACCTTCCTTTATATGAACATTTATTTCTTTGAATGCCTTGGCCAGCTTCTTAAAAGAGGTTATAAAAGGATAATAATTTATGTTGTACCAAACACAATACTCTATGTACAACTGCAGCATTTAACATGAACCTGAAATCCAAAAGGAAGGATTTTTGAACATCTAGATTTTTTTTTTTTTTAGGGGAACATCTAGAAATGTTAAAGTATATCTAAACAAAAAAACATTTTTCATTTTCAGATACAGTAAGGAATGGCAAAAGCTCCTGTCAAGTTTGTATATTACCCTCTGCATCCTATTGGGGAGATTTGCTACATCCTGTTCTGTAGACATAACAGGAACAAGACAAAATCCCTCTCCTCCATTGTGAGGGAAATCCTCTCTTAGACCGCTGTCACTGGGATAAGTATCTTTATTGGAAGACTTCCACTCTATTCTTGTTTTGGCGACAACTGAAAATGATTGATTTTAATTCACTTTCAGTTGCAGTGACAAATGGTCACCAGGCCAAATACAGTGGAATGTGCCACCTCACCACTCTATCCAAAAAGTTTGGGCTGCAGATACACTTTAATTGTGCATAAGCAGCACCCTTAAAAAATATAGCTTTTGTCATGGATTGCTCCTGAACAATGTCAGCTCTCTTCCTAATAGGGATGTTCAGATATCAGTTCAGATACCAGTGCAGATACTTGGCATTTTCATGAGAACTACCAGGGTTGTAGCAGTTGCAGCTGGGACCTGGCTCTGGCGCTCCACCACTGTCCTGAAATCATTAGTCGATATTGTTTTAGAAAAACCGTCACATGAAAATAAACATAAATGTATCAGTAATTGTATCTGTAAGTACTTGGACAAGTATCAGTACTTGAAAAAATGGTATCTGTGCATCCCTAATATATATTTATAAAAACATTTCTTACATTAAAACAGGGATGTACGGTTTGCCTTCTTGGATTGCTGGGGACACCGGGGATGACTCCTCACACATCGCTTGCTATAAAGAGGGCTCTGTTTACTGCGTCCAGGTTGGTGGTGCGGAAGTGGGTTTCCTCCTCCCCCCCACACTGGAGCTATGGCTGGAGGAACTGGACAGAATGGTGGAGTTTGAGAGGGTCACATATAAGCAGAGAGGGAGCCTGAACAAATTTCAGAAATTGTGGGCCGCCTGGCTGTCTTATAGAGGAAGGGCGTCACATGGGAGTATGGGTTAGGGAGGGCGAGCTGACCTGAGGCTGGGCCTGTGGCTACGGGTTGTATATGTGGTGGAAACTGAAATTGGGCCGACTAAGTAGAATCATATGTGGGACAGAGCTGATTGGCTATCTGGGTGGTTGTAGGCTGGGTGGGGAAGTTCCATTGTGGACAGCTCATTGCGATACTAATGTATGTACGCCTCTGTATTGTCTTATGTTTTATTATTTTTTGGCTTGTTTTACTTTGGTTTGTTTCTCGTATTGTAGTTTATTTTCTTTTATTTCACTATGTCTATGCATCACTCTGACATTTGATTTTCTACATGTGTGGACTGTTTTTTGTCTAAAAATGTTCAATAAAAAAATTATCTGATTTTTTAAAAAAACAGGGATGTACAAATCCCAGGAGCTCCGTGTGCTCCTTAAAAATGAACTCTGCCTCCTAACTTTTGAATTTTGCTCTAGTCTAGTCTTGGAGCTGGAAAAGTATCTGAACATCCCTACTTCCTTGTATGCAAATGTGCCTGTAGCCTCATAGTTGTATATCTGCAGTGTGAGATCTCAGGCACTGATCCCTCAAACTGCTAGTCTCACCAAATGGAGTGAGATTTGATCATGTCAATACTGAGCTGCTTGTTGGAAAGGAATCTGCACTGCTTGCATCTCTCTGTTTTTGCTTCATTCATTCTGTGTATCTGTGCTTTGTGAAAACAAAAGGGAACAGCTATGTTCATGGTGGAAGCCCCAGAGCCTTGGATGAGCAGCTCCTCAAGTCTGTGTGAAAAACTGTGATTAACTGTTGAAATCTTTGAGTATGCAACAGCAAGTGGATCGTTCAGCTGGCAGCCATTACAACCAAGAGCTGTTTATGAAATTATCCTTGTCATCAGGTCAACATTTATCAGCTCTGACATGAGGAAGAAAAATCATGCTCCTGTACAATGATGAACACCTCCACACAAACACACTGCGGAACAAGGCAGGATAAGTTAGTTATGAGGAAAAGATCAATAGCAGAGAGCCTACAACTATTTGCCCTCTACTTTTCTTTTTTTGGGCATAGCTTCAGAGTTCAGGTCCTCTTTAAGGCTCAAATAGTGATGGACACTGAAAGCAGAGGACACCTGCACCCCCATATACAGGAACTTAGTGTCCTCCATGTTAATGCTTATAGTACATACAGAAAGTATATGCCAAGATGCAAATTGTTCTGTGTGGCTCTGGGGAAATAATAGTTTGGGGTTTGGTTGTTTTTTTTAGAGGCCTATTAAGCAGTAATAGATGAAGCCTGAAGTAGCCAACCACTTACACATCTAATTTCACGAGACTCTGATGAGGTTCTCCACTGTCACAGAAGTACAGGACACCATGCCATGGCCCATTTTAGAGCGTCTGCACTATTTCCCACAAATGAAACTGTGTGGTGGAATCTGGTGCCAATATCCAGTAACAGTTTGCTCAATGCTAGACATTCCTTTAGTGCTATGTGAAAAGTGTCAATCCGTACCAATACATCATGCAACAAAATACACACTGCCTACATTATATTATTGATTTGTATGACCCACCCCAGTGGTCAAATGTGCAAAGTCACCAAGAACACTAAATAACTTAGTATTTAGTCTAGCCCTTGTCTTGAACCCGTAGTCTTGAACTATATAATATATATGTTTAAATGACCTGGCCTTCACTGATAACTTGCATTACCTATTGATTTTGACTACACACTGTTGGCTCTATAACATACAGGGATATCCCCAGTACCTCAGTACCTCCCAAGCCTTTAGTGATGAAGTGGTCTGGCACTATACCTGACTTCCCCCACTACCTTCTCCACCCCCCACCCCTCCAATCCATTTTACCCAGTGGTTTCTTCTTTTGCCTGCCTTGACCCCCTTGTCTTTTCTCATCTCTTTCACTGCTAACTTCCCGCCTGAGTATCTTCCTTTTGAATTTCAGACCTTTTATCAACTAGCAAATGTTCATTGGGCTTATGGGGGGTCTGGGGCCTAAACATTAAGTGCTTAAACTACCTCTTTTCACACTTTGATGACAGTTGAAAAAGTTTTGTTGTGTTCCCATTCCCGTTTCATCACATGTTTTATTGTGAGACTTCTTCATCTTTAGTTATGCAAAGTGGTTCCTATATACCTGATGTCCTCTGATGTCTGTCACCAGTCAGGCTCAGTGTGTATTGTCCTAACTTTTTTTACTGTGGAATCACTGTTATGTTGTATTTTATAAAAACATTTTAAAAAACATTTATTGAAGCGGAAAAATGAACACAATTTATGTTTGCGTGCGTGTGCCTAATCTAGATTTGTAACTATGTAACAACAACGATTTTGTTTAAAGGACAATCTTTATATGCCATCTTATCTTTACTATTGATAATTTACATTTATCAGAAGAAAATACCTGCAACCTACACAGGGACAACTGGTCACAATGAGTAAAGGTCTAACACTGAGATATTATACCTAAAATTTCACCATACACGAAGAAACTGCATAACCCTATAAACGTCATGGAGAGTAAAAGAGAATATGACTAATCAGTTTCACACACACATGCATACATTTTCTTTTAATACATATACTGTATAGTCATCATGGCCAGTTTATTAGCTTCTTTGAAAGCTATCCCTAATTAATCTACATGCCTGTATTTGCCCTGTCTCACTTCAGTATTAACCCCTGAGCAGAAGTCTCATCTATTTTGCAGCTCCTCAAGCCCATTACTAAGGAGGATTATTTCATTTTGTTTACTCATTTAGACCTTATATTACCATACTAATCAACTCTTATCCTCTTACACTTGTGGCCCCTTTATTCCACACAAGACAGCTGAAGCACAATAACCTGCCCTTTTCCCCCACAACTTTATGAAGATAGCATGGAATTGACAGCAGCACCATGTTCAAACACCATAACTAAATTTAAAAAAAACAGTTTAAAATGTAAGAAAAAATACATTTGGTGGAAATGGCTGTGGCACTTCATTGTTTAACCACAACAATTAATAACCATAAAAAACTATAAACAATAAATGATTGCTCAGTCATACAACTTAAGCAATCCATCAAGTAAAATAATAAAGTCTCTTTAAATTTAACCCCCCCCCCCCCCAAAAAAAAAAAAATAGTATATAGCCAAGGCAACACTTGCCAACAGTTGGGATTTTTTTATCTGGTACCATTTTTTTCTTGTTTTTATGAAATTCTCAAAATACCTGGAAAAAAAAAGTAATGCAATATGTTACATATTTGTTTTATGGTTTAGATATGCTTTAATGGTGTTACTTACTTAATACTAGGCAAACATTTTCTTTCAGTTTGCTTTTTTATAAACTAATGCTTACTCAAATATCCTAATGTTTAAGCAAAACTGTATATACTGCAATTGATGGGTGTGTTCACTGAAAATTTAGTTTGTTTGTAGATCGGGATAGGTGATACTCTGACTCATATAACTGGTGTATACGCCAATGCCAAAACCATAATCAAGTCTTTTGTAATCGTGGTCAGTGCCATTCTCCGATGAGTCTCCATGGATATCTATGTTAATGAATTCTTGCTAATAGTACATCGTGCTTAGGTGTATTTTGCCATCATAAGCTGTTCACAGAGACTTGAGTATTGAGGAAATCCAACTGGGTGTGTTTGTCTCATGTGGCTGGGTGCCAGTGGCTGGGTTGGGCTTCTACTACTCTGTATTATTTCTAGCAGGACAGGAAGAGTAGACTTCATTTTAGTATGTAAATTATGTTTCATGGACTTGTATTAAAGTGTTTCAGTAGATCATATACATAAACTAATATGTTTCGATGGATAGAATATTCACCCAAATAATAAAGATGTATTATTACTACATAATTACATTACAGAACTTAGAAATGCGAGTTGATCATATTCAGGTTTTATGTGAAAGCTGGTTGTTCAAGTGCAGGAGAAAAGTACATTAATTTTTTAATTTATTACAGTAGCAGTGTGTCCTATGATTTGTTGCCTATGCATGCTCTTAAATGTTAAAAATAGAAAAATAAGGAAGTAATTCAACCTCTGTGTACAATGTGCAATACATGTCAGCATTTAAGCAAGGTTGGAGATGATGTCATATTTTATAGTTGATACACCCATTTATGATGTCTGATACAAGCAGATGTATATGTCATCTAATGGCTAGTACTACATGGGTGATTTTGATTCTCATGAAGATCAGTCTTATGAGATTAATATTACTATGTTATATTTAACATGGGAAATCCCTCGACATGCTCATGAATGAACAATACATTTCCTTTCTCATATTCTCAAGTCTGGGTACAAGATGAGCTGATAATACTTGCTGCTGTAAGACTATATTGCAGCATTGTACCAACATGGGAGTCCGGTCATGCAAAACTGATCTCCCGTGTGCTAGATCACAAAGAAAGACAATGTGACACAGACAGTGACCAATTACAGGAAAATCAGGCGATCTGGGGCAATGGCTTATTCTCAGGCTTTGCAGAGTTATGCTCGCAAAGTTACACTCATTAAAAAACATGCAATGTGATCTGAAAGTGTGAGATAAAAACATGCTTTTCTTGGTTTGGGAGAGTAGCCATGTTTTCACCATTACCTCGAGAGCGAGACAAATGGGGAATTTGTCTGCCATAAATACTACTGGGTGTGACAGCTTACACGAATACAGAGTGGGTGGCTTTGGACCAAGCCATAGTGGATCATTCTCTACAATCCATACCTTGATATAGACCCCAACCTCAACTATCATGAGAAATCTATCTTAACTGACCAAAATCACCCTGGCCAAATCCCCATATCTCAGCCTTCCATCTTTTGTGGAACTACTGACTCCACTGAAACCACTATGCATTCAGACGATATCACAAAGATGCCTAATTTATATCCTGCATCCCACATGTTCCCCGCACATCCCCCAGCACAGAGCCATTCTGCAGGATGTTGGAGAAATATTTAGCAATCACAGAGGAGGACTGGAAAAAAAAATCATCTCACCACCTACAAATGCTCTCAAAATGCAACCACCCAGCAAAATGGTTACAAGTTACCCTCATGATGGTACAGAACACTACTGGTTGTATTGGTTTTATCATCACTATCTGACTGATGCTGGAGGTTCACCACAGGTGCCATTGCCCCATTATCTTCCATTCATAGAAAGAGGTTCACTGTGTTATAACTGCGGTCTCTGATAACACTCCAGACTATGGCACAGTACTTACTGCACTACTCCTCCCTGCTGAGGAAACACTTTATAAAATTCCTGACCATGCATGTGATTATGCAGGGAGAATGTGCATACCCTTGCATTGGTTAACTAAATAACCACCCAGTCTGCAAGAATGGCTCACTAAGCTGAACAAAATTACTTAAATGCTAATACTCCCTCCCCTACCTTCCCTTATATACTGCTCACTTTCCCCAACATACTATCCACACTCTGTATTCCCGTGCCAAATGTTAACCCCATTGAATACAATAAAAGCTGAATCTTATAAATCATGAATGGCCATTTTTTAGGCTATTAGGCAGGGAATAACAAACAAAGTGCATGGGGAGATAGGCAATGCAAAAAATAAGGTTTCGCTGTGAAGGGTAATCTCGAAATGTTTAAGGGGCAACATTAAAAATGCATAATTCCTTTAAATACCATGTTTGAGGGATGCCCTACACTTGCCTTGAGAGTTACTCATCTGTACAATGTATACAACTTACTACAGCATTTACAAAGAAAGAAATATGCAGATTTTAAGGACCTTATGTAAAAAAAAACCTGGTGTGTGGTCCCTCCTAGAATTTATACCAGGCCCTTTGGGTCAGGAATGATTTTAATGGGGAACACCATGCAAAAAACAAAGAAAATTGACATAGGGTCCCCCCAAAATCCATTAACAGTCCCTTTTCCAAGCATGTTGTCTAGGAGGCGGAAGGATGAGCATGCACCCCGCCTCCCCTCCCTCCTGCTGAACCATGCCAGGCCACTTGCCCTCAACACGGGGAGGGCATGAGCACCTGGTGAGGACATGATCAGGACAACAACCTCTTCCCCACAAACCTGGCCCAGTGGCTGTGAAGGTCTACGGGCGTAGTAGGGAGTACCGTACTCAGCCACAAAAAACTAAACAACAAATGAAGACACCCTTTATTAAAAAATAAACAACCACAAAAAATGTCCCACGCTGCACATCCATTGTCAATCACATCACGCAGAAATGTAGATCTTTGCCAATCACGATGAATGAAATCTGACAAGAACAAAAGAGAAATACTTGCCGACCTATTCGCACCAATGGACACTTTCCAAACAATAGCTACCTGAGCTGTCATTTGTAATACAAGAGAAGGGGCATGAATACAGTGGTTGCCAAGGTTTAATAGAAAATTAGATGGCTGACAGGTTGGCAATATTCTGCTTCTATAGAAAGTAAGGGGAAAATTTCAGTGCCTCCTTGAGGATAAATTTCTCCACAATGTCTATAGCTGTACTTGCTTGCCCATTATTTGTAAATACGTTAGTGTGCAAAGTCTAGGCACAGGTTTACTTTAATACAATTCTTACTTTACAAAATACAGACAACATACTTATCACTATTGGCTATACTAAGGTCTTTGCTGTTTCACGTAGCAATACTGTAACAAATAATACATGTGTCCAGGTTATTGTTTTTTTGTGGCCATATTTAGCCCAGTTAACACTGTACATTCTGGTTGGTAGATGTTGTGTTCTAGTTGCACCAACATACCAGCACTTCAATCCATGTAGTGGGGAATATGATTTGTAATAATGCCATGTAGGTGGCCCTTATGATATAATACATTCATTGTATCATTACCTTGTATGTAGTGCAGATTGGTTGTACTTTTTCAGTTAGGTGACTTGACAAGTCATCAAGGTCCAATACACCACCATTGCTCTGCACCACTTCTACGATGGCTTGTGCAATCCTTCCTTCATAGAACCCTTTCTTGCCTAATTCAGATAAGACCTGCAAGTACATCAAAGCACTTTTTTTTTTAGTTTAGCATACAATGGGAAACAGTTAAATGACTGTAAAGTTATTATCATTGTCTGTGACTGCAGAGGGAGAATTTTCCTCACTTGCTATCGGCTCACGGTTACAAGAAATATGCAAAATCTCTCCATCCAAGGTAAAGAAAGCAATTATAGCCAATTGAGAGTGGGGAAGGGTTATAGGTAGGGATGTCCCGATGCCACTTTTTCAGTCCCAAGTACAAGTACAAGTACTTGTCAAAATGCCCTGTATCGGGCCTGATTCCGATGCTAGCATCGGTATCGGAACATCCCTAGTTATAGGTTCTGCCAGTTGTGTAAGTCTGTGTGCTGGTTGTGTTTTTCTCAATAACTTAATTATCATACAATATAGAAGCCAAGCTTTGAATCCTTTAACCCTTTGTTAGAACAGGCAGTGTTCAAATCTATTTTACAAATAATGAAATGAGCCAGCACAATACAAAAGGTGTTAAACCCCTTACCCTCAAAACCCCTCCTAAGATTACAAAGATGGAGAAGCAAGTAAACTTTTTAACCCTTAAGAAGCCAAGGAACTCTTACCCAAGTAAAAGCAATTTAAACTGCATGAAGCGTTTATGTATTTTTTACCCTCAAAAGTTTTTGTTGTTTTCATCAAATAATTAAAATTACAAAATACAACATTACACCTTAAGACAAGGCAACAATTAAAAAGAAAACAGAAAAAAAACCAAAAAAACCCCAAAAAGAATAAAAACGAAAGTTTAATATTCAAAATAAGCAATTGTGTTGAATTTGGTCGGGGTGGAGTAAGGTCTATAATCTGCCTACTTTTCTCACATTATTGTAGGGCTTGTATATGCCAACCAGGGCACCCAGGTGCAGGGCAGCCATCAGAAATTTCGGGGCCCCTTACACGGCTTTAGGCTAGGGCCCCCCCGCACCGCCTGGTGTCAGCCCACCGCACAGTGTCCGCAATAACCCCCCCCGCAACGCTGTGCCAGTCACACTGTTATTATTATACATATATATACCGCAATGCTGTACAGAGAACACTGAGCCAGTCACATCAGTCTCTGTACAGAGGAGATTACACTCTAATGTCCCCCCACAATCACACATTATGATTATATATGTATATAGCTGTGGCATATGCCGCAGCACTGTACAGAGAACACTAAGCACGTCACGTCACTCAAGCTTGGAGCGGTGAAAGCAAAAAAAAAAGACCCCTGACGGCGGCCCTGCCCAGGTGTGTTCAAATTGCACAGCTTTATCCGTAAGATTATTTGCTAAACTTTCATGAGTCATAATCCACGACAGCTTAATCTTTACATGCCTCAATGACACCCTAGGTGTTTTCCAGGCCTTAGCAATGGTGATTTTAGCTGCCAGGACAATGCTTCGAGATTCCGGGAACGGTTTCATTGAGAAGGGCATATCTGGGGTCCCTAGGTACCTGCACTCCCGTGACCCGAACTATTAAGTTAAAAACTTTTCCACAGAATCCCCGAACACGGGGACATGACCACCACACATGATGCCCTCAAGCTCACATCCTCGAAAGCACAGGGGTGACAGTCCTGGATACATACGAGCCAGTTTAGAGGGCACCAAGTACCACCTAGAGAAGACTTTGAAATTGGCCTCCATTAATGAGACATTAAGCATACCCCGAGTTGTCACCCTCGTGCAACGCTTCCATATCCCTTCAGGAGCAACCATGTTTAGGTCCTGCTCCCAAGACAACATATATGGCTGTTTAGGGGGAGACTCTGACAGGATGGAGTAGAGCAGAGAGATTGCGCCTCGCTGGTTATTGGGCTGAAGAAACCAACGTTCGTAAGGGGTGAGACTGCTGCCAGAGTCGCTTTGTGCTAGTATAATACGTAGATAATGAGAGATTTGGTAATAGCGAAACAACTCTGACAAGGGCATGCTTAAATACTCTTTGCATACTCCCCCTCTTAAAATATTGGCCAATTCTGTATAAACCCTTGTCCAGCCACCACTGAAATAGTTTGGGGTGCATACCAGGCTTAAATGTTGGATTCTGATATAGGGGGGAAAGGGGGGTATGGGGTGAACTAATGTTTCCATTAGTTTTTCCCCTATCCCAAAGGGCCAAAGAGTTGGAAAGAGTGGGGGCCATAATGGATGGTCGTGATCTGAAAGGCATCCACTTTAATAGATCTAAAGGTAGGTCTCTAGTCGCCTTGGCCTCCATAAGGACCCAATCTGGGGGTTCCTCCGCTATATATACAACAGATAACTGAGCGATACGTGCAGCACGATAGTATTGGTGTATATTTGGTACTCCCAACCCTTCCGACTCTCTAGTGCTGTAAAGCATAGACCTAGGTAGACGATAACCTTTATCTCCCCATATAAATTTCACTAGGCTAGATTGAAATGCATTTAATTCTGATCTAGGGAGCGGAATGGGAAGGGCCCGAAATAGGTATAACAGGCGAGGGAGTAAAGTCATTTTAATAGCATTTATTCTCCCAAGCCAGGAAAGATTACTTGAGGACCACCTTTCTAAGTCCCCCTTCAATTTCTTAAACATAGGAGGGAAATTCGCTTGGTACAAAAGATCGAAAGCGGGGGTAAGGTTGATCCCCAAGTAAGGTAGCGAGGCCAACGACCATGAGAAAGGAAAAGTTGCTTTCAACGTGTTCACTTGCTCAGGGGTAAGATTTATATGCAGGGCTAGAGACTTAGCTGTATTTATATAGAGCCCAGATACCTTTGCAAATCTATCGAGAGATGACATTACATTGGGCAGCATAGTCAATGGCTGCGTAAGAAACAGCAGTAAATCATCTGCAAAAAGGGCACATTTGTGTTCTCCGGCTCCACATTGTACTCCTTTAATGTTAAGATTCTCCCGTATAGAAATAGCCAGGGACTCGATCGCCAAGGCAAATAATAAAGGGGAGAGGGGGCAACCCTGTCTAATGCCTTTAAATATTGGAATTGGGGCTGATTTAAATCCCTGCATTTTAATAGTAGCTGAAGGCAGGGTATACAGATTCCAAAGTAAGCTCATAAACCCGATACCGAACCCCCACTCTTCCAGTAGCGTAAAAAGTTAAGTCCAAGATATTGAGTCAAAGGCCTTTTGTAAATCAATTGATAACAACAAGCCAGTGGCGTCTGACTTCCCGCCCCATCCAGACTTTAACAAAGATATTATATCGATTGCTCTACGAATTTGATCTGGCCCCTGTCTCCCTCTAATGAACCCCACTTGGTCTTTATGTATATAGGTAGCCAAAAACGAATTAATTCTATTAGCTAAAACTTTCGTAACCAATTTCAGATCAATATTTATCAAGGATATAGGTCTATAATTGGCTACTTCTCCTGGATCCTTATTAGGTTTAGGCATTAAACTTACGAACGCCTCATTCATTTGTGGACTCAGGGGGTGGCCTTTACCAATAGCTGTAAACAGAGATTCAGGATGGGGTAAAAGTATCTCTTCGAATTTCTTATAGTAACCAGCTGAAATGCCATCTGGTCCAGGAGCGGAAGATATTTTTGTCTGTTTAATAGCTTGTTTAATTTCAGATTGAGTGACTGGTTCTTCCAGTAAGGCTATATGTTCAGGATCTAAACTAGGGAGTGTCACAGATCTTAAAAATTGCTGTATTAGCGGTTTAGAGGAATTATAGGTGTTAGCATATAATCGGGTATAGAAAGATTCGAACTCCTGGGCTACCACTTTAGGATTATGTAAATATGTCCCAATCGCACATCTTATTTTAGGGATCGAATAATTACGCAATTTAGAAGATAGTTTAACAGCTAACAGGTGGCCAGCTTCGTCCCCGTGGGAGTAGAATTTATGATGAGACCAACGAAGGCTCTGCTCCGCCACCGTGGTAAGGGCCAAATTTAGCGACAAACGAGTTTGATCAATACGGTCTTGAAGGTCCTTTGTTGGCTTACGTTTATGTGCGTGGGACAAGACAAGCATCTCCCCCTCTAATTTGGAAATATGTGACGTCCGTTGGCTTTTCTTACGCGTAGCAATGGAAATGAAGTACCCTCTTAAAGTTGCCTTATGGGCTTCCCAATTAGTGATGGGCGAGGAAACTGAAGGAGTATTAATACCAAAATATTCAGTAAGAAGGGCTTGAAATTCCACTATCACACCCGGATCACTCAGTAGTGAGTTATTGAGTCTCCAATGAAATTGTCCCCGAACAGGTTGGGCCAATGAAGAGGTCATTACTACAAGTGAATGATCAGACCATGAAGTCTCCCTGATTCTAACCGAACCCATGCCTACAAGCATCTGGGGTGAAACAAAAATATGATCTGGCGTGGGCATGCGAAAAGTGAGTGTAATCCCTCGTAGAGGGGTTACACTCACGCCACGCATCCACTAGATAGTGCGAGTGAAGAAGCTTTGCCAGCCTTAATCCACGTTTGGAGGGGTATTTTAACTTGGACCCTGTTGGGTGAGATTTATCCAGTTTAAGATCCAAAGCTAAATTTGAATCCCCAGCTAGTACTACTGTCTCCTCGATATGAGGAGACAGTGTAGTAAAAAGATCAGTAAAAAAGGGGATTTGTGCTGAGTTGGGGGCATAGTAAGAAATGATCGTAAAGAGATGGTCCCCAATATAACCCTTTGCCAACAAATAGCGTCCTCCAGGATCCTTTATTTCCAATTGTAATCTAAATAAGACGTGCCTAGCAAATAAGATGGCTACCCCCTTAGATTTATCTGCCGCATTAGCCAAATAGTATTGAGTATAATGTTTATGTGTAAACAATGGATTATAACTATTTGGGAAGTGCATTTCCTGAAGGCAAAGTACATCTATTTTTTGGGAAAAATAATGATTGAAAGCCATTCGCCGTTTAACAGGCGGGTTAAGGCCTTGAACATTATGTGTAGCTATGCGAATATCAGCTCTACCAGAAGTCATGATTTGTAAATGGCTGTATTAGATCAATCTGCTTCCCAGGTAGCTGCTC